CTCGGCAGCGTGGCCAAAATTGTAGCAAAACAAGAATTCGGCAATAAACAAAGCCTAAATTCAAGGCTTTGGAAATAACTCCAGAGCCTACTGAAATATGGCTGCCTTGGCTTCTATGGGCACACTTCCCTAGCATTCCTTAATTAACCTAAAAAGTTGATTATTTCTTCTCTCTCTCTCTCTCTCTCTCTCTCTCTCTCTCTCTCTCTCTCTCTGAATGATATAAGGCTTTCCAGAGCATCATACCTTTCTGGCGGTCTTAAAATCTAAATGGAAGTCTAAGTAAAAATGAGGGGGAAGAGGGAGAACTTGCTAAAAGAAGCAACTGACACTGCTTTTGTCCCCATTTGAGGCTTTCTATAGATAATTTTACTCGATTCTCACAATATATAAACCCATGAACTTAATACCATTATTTGCCCATTTTACCAATGAGAAAACTGAGGTTTCAAACGGCTATATAGCTTGCACAAGGTCACAAGGCTAGCAAGGATGTGGATGCAAGCCAGGGCTCTGAGCCCTTCTCTAAGAGCACCTCATTGCTGGGCTTGTCAACTTCCGGAAGAAGCCACTTTGAGGCCCCGTCTGGTGGACAGGCTCAGGCAGTGGCCTCAAGACCACATTTGGGATCAAAAAGGGGAAGGTGCCCGGACCATTCGAAGGGCTGGACTAGCTGATCCAGTTCCCTGATTCTGCAACACTTTTTGGAAGTGCCTTCCACAGGAGATGATGCTGTGTGGTGTTCTGTTTGATTCGGAAGGCCCTCCAGACATGCAATTAAAAGCCACAACATTCTTGTTTTTAAACACTTCTCTGTCTCAGGAGTACTGATTGCACAGCATCTCCTGCCGCCTGACACCCAACACCCGACTCCAGCCACTCGCATTGGCAAAGCCGCTTAAAACCACCCCACCTCAGGAGAAGTGCTCTAAAAGGCAAGGCTACAGCCCTCACCTGCGTGACTCAGTAAATAGAGCGTTGGCCTGAGGACTGTAGGGTCCCGGGTTCGATTCCGGTCAGGGGTATGTACCTTGGTTGTGGCCACATCCCCAGCAGGAGGTGTGCAAGAGGCAGCTGATACTTCTCTCTCATCCACGTCTCTAACTCTATCCCTCTCCCTTCCTCTCTGTAAAAAATCAATAAAATATACTTTCTAAAAAAAAAAAATTTTAAAGGCAAGGCTACAAATGAAAAGAAATCACTGCAGAATTCTCCCTGAAGATTGAAAAGGCAGAATTGAGACAGTGCTTGTCAAGTCTCCTCCATGGCACCTTACAAGTAAAACGTAGCTGTTTGGTGCATGCTGGGAGCCAGAAGAAAAATGCCATTTTAAATGAAAATTTCTTGCTCCTCTTGACAGATTCTGAGTCACCAAGCGCTGTATGACAAGAGCAACTCGTTGACCAAATTGTTTTTTATGTTTGTTTTATTTTCTGTTCAGCCAAGCACTGGGAATTTTCCACCTGACAATTCCTGCTTTCTCACTGAAGTTCTTAAACCGTCTGTGAGCAGAGTGCTGGGGGGGAGGGGAGGACCTCAAGGCTAAGGAGGCCTCCCATTCATCCCACCTCACCCACTAGTTTTCCCACCTATTTAATGCCCGGTTTTCACCAGATGTTTTTGCTACCCTTGCAAGCGCATCTATCCAGTTGAAAGCAGTTTGGAGATTGCCAGTTTCTGGGTCTGGGTCTGCTACCAGATTCAAGATCTCTACATTCCTTTTTGAGTAAAACAAGAGATTGAGCTAAAATAAACAGCACAATGGGAAACTGAACTTCGGCTGGACAATAACATCAGGACTGAAGTCCTGCCGCTGAGAAATGAGCCTCTGCCGTTCTCAGGGCGCCCCCTAGTGGGCATTCAGTTAAATCCAGACGGAATGCTCAGTTTCACCCACGGAAAGACAAGGGCAGACTCCCCTCTCCTGATGCAATATCCCTTCCACTCTGACTTACTCTGTGTATCCGACAGCCAGACGAGTGCCTGACAGGAAACTCCAGTGGAACTCAGAGAGGTACCTGCCACAACACAAGGTTTCATTCATCCTTTCCGTGTGCGGCAGTTGCCCAGCATTCAGGCTTCTGTGCCACCTCACAGATCCTCCCCCCCACCCCAGACACACCCTTCCCACTCAACCCCTCACACATATCAACCTGCAGCCCCAACCGCGTCTGCTTTTCATTATCCCACTTTCCAACTCCCCAGCGCGATTCTTCAACAGCTACTAGGACAGCACGAGCAAGGAGCTAAGCTTGGTTTTTGCTTATTCAACCTCCAGCCTGGGGAATATCTACCTCCGAAGAAAAGCATGAATGAAGTGCGCGTTGCCCAGCCTCTCCTGCCGCAACTTGGAAAGGTGTTTGTTCCTCCCAGGGCACCGTTACAAACACGTCCTATTTACATGTGTCAGCCTTCAAACATGGCACCTGCCCGGAGTGACTTCTCCACGACTTTTGCTTGCTAGAGGATGTTTAAAAGTGGAGACAGGTTCAAATACATAATGGACAAAGTCTCACATTTCCAATTAACCTACAACAGACTTTTTTTTTTAAGCTATAAGATAAAGTTCTATCAACCCAAACAGTGACGCTTAGAAGGAGGGAGTTAGCCAGGAATCCAAATCTTTGAGGAATGGGGGGAGAGGGGGGAGGGACTGAACTTTCTGATTGGTGCCCCTCTTTTTATTTTCACAGAACAATCTCTGCACAGATGCAAGAGAAAAATGCCAACATCAACCTACCAATTCATTCACCGATTCATTTTGCTTCCTCCCTTCCTCTCCCCCCCCCCAACCCCCACCCTCATTTGTTAAGTTTATAACCCACCCTGGGCCACGAAACACCCCGAAATGTGCACACTCTTGTCTCAAAATTAGTCTGGCGCTACATCGATGAAAATGCATCAGCTAGGCTTCAAATCAAAGAACCCTGCCCCTTTTCTGCTGCACACCACGCACAATCTTTCTGCAACCGTCAGTCCCTTTGAACCCAATCCTCCAGCCACAAGCCGAGTGGATTCCTGGGCCTGGTCTGCAGAGAGGAAAATGACAACACACCACGCTGGCGACCCCAAGGCCCTCAAGAACCTCTTGGAGGCTTGTGTCTAGGACGCCGGGGCGCTGGCAGGGTTCCAGCTGTCACCCAGAGGGGCGGCTGGGCCAGACTCCTCAAGCAATTGAGTAGCCCTGCAGCCAGCCGGGACCCCAAGTGTAATTGCGTTGGCTGCTGCGACTCAGCATCTGTGTGGCTGTTCAAGCCCTGGGCGTCTCAGTCCTCCTCCCAGAAGCCGGGCCGAGCTGTCACAGCCCTCATGCATGCAGCAGCCTCTCCTTTTTGGCTCCCTAACCTTCTCTCTGCAAAAGAGGCAGGAGTGCGCCTTCCTCCCTTGCAGGGACAGCGGCATCAAGGTGATAGGGGGGATGAGTGGGAGGGGAGGGTCACATTCATCTGCAGGACTGTGGGAGGGGGACCAGCTCCGAGCTGAGAGCTCGGAACCGGATTGGAGATGGAGCCATAAGGCATTCTCCAGGGCATGGTCTGAGCGCGCGCCCTGAAGAGGGGAGACCCCGACCGGCGGGTCCCAACCTTTGCAAAAGTGTTTGCAAATCGTAAACACTACTTTGCTGTTGGGATCAAACCCCCCGAAATATGCGCAGGCAGGATGTAACAAGTGTTTCAGGAGAGAAACACGCCTGAGTCACGGGGAGCTGGGGCGGGGGGGAGAGGAGCTGTCTGGGGGTTCCCGGAAAGCCCCCTCTCAGACCAGACAGGCTCAGCACCCAAAGCCCCCGCCCCTGGCGCCCTCCGTCCCCGGTGCCCCCCCCCAACCCCCAGGGGGGTTCCTGCGCTCACCACTCGGCCCGAGAACCGCTCGGTGGCCCTCTTGACTTTGCCGTAGGTGCCTTTGCCCAGCGTCTCCTGCAGCTCGTAGCGGTGCTTCAAGTTGTGCTTGTGGTGATGCCGCTTCACCCCGTGCGGCTTCCTGGGCTCCGGGGCGGCCGCCGCGGGGGCTGCGGGGGCTGCGGGGGCCGCGGGGGCCGCGGTCGCCCCCGCCCCCGCCTCCGGGGGAGAACCCGGCGCCCCGGACCCCAAATCGGGGCCGTCCCGGGCCGCGGGCGCAGCGGCCCCTTCCATGTCCAAACTCCGCCGCCGGGACGAGTGGATGGATGGACACTGGGCAGGACCCGGCACGGCAGCACTCGGGGTGTCTGGGTCCCCGCCGAGGGAAGTCGGGGTGCAATCAACGCCGCCCGCGCGGCATGGACGAGGGAGGCGGCGGGATCCAGTGGGGCTGCGGCGGGGTCACGGGCGGCGGCGGGGACCGCACATCGGGCGCCCCGGTCCGCGCACCGCCCCCGGCCGCGCGCACTGAGAGCGGCGGGCGAGGCGGCGGCGGCGGCAGCGGAGGCGGCGGGGTTTGCAGGCGGGAGGGGAGGGGAGGGGAGAGAAAGGGGGTGGCTCCGGGCGCAGGAGGGGAGTGTTATGTGGGCGCCGCGCCCCCCGAGCCCTCCCCTCCCCGGGGTGGGGGGGGGGACGGGCAGACGGGCGGGGGCGGGGCGGGGCGGCGCGTCGGCGGGTCCCGAGGGGCGGGGGGTGAAGGGGGGAAGGGGAGGCGAGAGGCGGGGCGGCCGGGGCTTCCCCACCTCCCTGCTTCCCAGCCGCCCCCGGCCCGGCCACCCCGATCTGCGATCTGGAGGGGGAGGGGAGCGGGCGGCCACTCGCCCTTCTTTGTGCGGCGCGGGCGGCGCAGGCCGCGGCAGGGGCCGGGGCTTTGTCCTCGCTGGGCCGGGCTGGGGCCGGGGGACGGAGGGATCCAAGCTGGGGCGCCCCCTCCCCGGACTCGATGGCCGCAGCTACCGGGGGCCCGGGCCCGCCGCCTGCAGCTCCGGCCTCCGAGCCTCCCTCTGGGCCCGAGCCCCTGCGGCCGCCGTTCGCCGAGCCCGGGGCCCGAGCCGCCGCCGATCGCGCCCCGCGCCGGCGGCCGCCGGGACCCGCTCGCGATCCGGCCGGGGGCGCCGCGGGCCCGGGCGCCCCCTCATTCTCTTCGGTGTCGCGGCGGCCGCCCCGCCGGCCGGAGCTGGGGAGCGGCGGGGGAGGGGAGGGAAGGGGAGCGGTGGGTGTTGGGTTTCGGGCGGTGAGTCACGGCCCCCTCCCGCCGCGTGCGCACCCCCCCCTCCCGCCCCGGGGGCCCCGGGATGGCTGGCCGGCCGCCGGGGGATGGGCCTCGACCCGGAGAACCCCAAAAGGAGCGCTTGGATCCCGGGCCTTCATTCCCTCCCCGAAGATCGGAGGAAGGCAGACTCCGAGGCGGAACCTGGGGCCTCCCGTCACCATCCAGGCCCGAGAGAGGAGGAGAGCTGGGGACGTGGAAGGGACCGTGCAGAGCTGGGCGCCCACCCTGCCCGCCGAGGCCGCCCTCAGAGGTGGGCGAGCCTGGGACCTCGCATGGAGCAGGGCCCACGGCCTGCAGAGCGGGAGGCCACTGGCCGGCCTCTAGGCCCCTCCGGCCTCGGAATTTATCCTGAAACTGGAAGGACCAGATCCCGGAGGTGGGAACAGCGACCTCACACCCCAAGCTGGGAGTCTGGCAGGGAGGGAAGGCCTCCGACCACAGCCAAGCCAGCTGCAGCCTCCTCCATCCCCCTTCTTAAAGGGGCAAAGGAAAAGAAGGAAGCCGACCAGAGAGAAAGAGGCCTCAGGGAAATGTTTAAAATGGTGCAGCAGCACACCAGACTGGTGATAGGAAGGGTGAGGCAGGAGGACTGTCTGGTGCGACCTGCAGCTCGCAGGGTGGTTCTGTACTTTTTTTTTCACCCCGTGAGCCGGGCTGGACCTCCTGGGCAGCTCTCTGGTTCATCCCTCCTGCATTCCTGCTGTCTTCACACCCGTCTACCCGCTGGACTCCCGCAATAGCATGTCCTCTGCGAGAGCCCCCTCCGTGCTGCCAGAGTCACGGCCTAAAACAAGGCAGGCAGCCCATCCTCCAGGCCTGCCCCTCTGCCACGTCCAGTGCTTGGTATTATCTGTCCACGCTTCTCCTCCAGTGCGGCTCCACATGACCCCTCTGTCCCTTCCTGCCTTCCCCGGGAGCACGCTGGTTATTGCATAAGACAAACACAAAGGCCATGTTTACTTCATCTTACTTCATCCCTATTCTGTCCTCCACACTTGCAGCGCCCCCATCCTGAGACTGTGTTCTGCTTTCAGACCAAGTCTGTAGACAGCGGGCATGTATTAATAGAATAAAGTGTCAGAATGAGTAACGGGAAGGGTTGAGCCAGGATCCCAGGGACTAGGACTCGGGACCTTGGCCAAATGACTTCACCTCTCCAGGCCTCAGTTTCCTCTTCTTAAAATATGGATTACCCACCTGTTTGACAGGTACTCAGACTATTATGTCTGCTGTGGTCATTAAAACCGTTCCCCAGCTCTCTTCTGGTTCTTTCCCCTCCTGGGGATGTGGTAGGAACTCACTACCCCAATCTCTTGAAATGAGATGTGGGCCCATATGCCTTGCTTTTAGGGCAATGGAATGAGAGCACTGTTTTCGTGTAGAAACTTTTCAGATCCAGTGGGCAAGTCCTGTCTTTTGACAATTCTGAAAGTACAGTCTTGGCGATCCTATCTTGACAGCGGTGGGAGTACCGAGATGGAGCCTCCCCCAGCCAGCCTGGGTCTCTGTAAAGATGGCAAAGCAGTCCCAGGGAACCTGTGTTGGGAAAGTAGTGTGAGTGGGATTTCTGGAGCTAAGGGGGTGTTACAGGAGCATAACCCAGCTTATTCTAGCAAATAGTTTGCTCCCAAGTGCCTGGGACATCATCCGTATTTGTTGAATGACTAACTCCTACCACAGGCTGGTACCATTCACGACAGTAAGCCCTTCAGGGTGGTGGTTGTAAATCGGTATTTTCCATTGAGGAAACCACATCAGAACACTTAAGCCATTTGCCTGAGATTTCACAGGTTGTAAAAAAGCAGCACCTGGATTTCAACCCTACCTGTCCAGTCCCAAGCCTTGTGCTCTTCCTCTTCCACGGATGCTGTGCTGCCTCCCCTTAAATGGGCGGGATGGAAACCCCCAGTACAATGCCTGGCACACAGTCCTACCCGAGCACTGGGAGTTCCTCTCCAGACTGAATTCCTATAGCATTTATAATTGGAACCATACTTCAGCACAATGTTATCACGCATTGTATTCCGTGTTTTCCACAGATAAAGCTTTTCCTCCCACAAGACGCCTGGATTTAGATAGAGCTTGCATTCTGGAGTCAGACTGCCTGGGTTCAAATCCCTGTTCCCCCACCCGCGATTGACAATCTTGGGCAACTCTGTGCCCTCTCTATGCCTCGGTTCTCTCCTCTGCAAAACGGCGATGGTAATAACATAGGTGATATTGGTAGCAGTAACAATAATATGTCCCGTGGGGGTTAAAGAGTATAATATATACATTCAATAAATCATGGCTATTAATAGACTTACTTTTCATCTTCCGTGAGCTCCTACTAGAATGCAGACAATTCCAAGCAGTTTAATCCTACTGCTTGTATAGACTGATTTCTGGGATCATCCCTGATACAGGATAGTTGTTGTAACATCTATAGTTGGAAGTATTACATCCACACAGTCCTATAACTTAGATCTCATAAGACTCATTGCTTGTTTTTTATTACACTTCCTTTCCAAACCACTTAAAAGGAAGAAGGTATGTGTGCTTTCTTGACACTTCTTTGTTCAGAAAACGGTAATACCAATTATCATGTATCTAGTATCTTTCAGGACCTTTATAGTATTACTTCTAATCACCATAAAGCTGCCATACGGGTGTTATAATCCCCATTTGGCTGTTGAGGACATTGAGTCTCAAAGTGAAGTTAAATAGCTTGTGTTCGGACAGCTGGTAACTAGCTAAATCAGGGTTTGAACCCAAGTCTCTGACCAAGACTTTGCCCAGGCCCCTAATTCAAGCTGCCTGACATCCCACCTCACATCAATGAGTAGCTGTGCTTTGGTTGACACTAGTCTTTCGATTTTCTAGATGAGGTTTTGGAAAGTTACCAAAGATTGTGACATTTCCAACTTCAGTATCTTATCTGGTAGGCATCTTGCATTAAAGAGCAATCTAAGAAGCTGCTCCTTCTTCACGGAGGCAGAGATTGCTAGCTGCCCACCAAAAATTCATAGGGGAGTTGATGAACTGCTGCTCAGCTGAGGCTATATTTCCCAGCCTCCCTTGCATCCATACATGGTCACGTGACTAGTTCTCTCTAATGGAACATGAGCAAAAATAATGGCCAGGATGTTTAAAACTGGGTGTGCCTTCCCCACTTTGCCTTGCTGGAAGCAAAAGATTCCAAGGCTCCAGTAGATGGTGGACTCACTGGAGAAAAGGAGCCTGGGTCCCTGCATCACCTTGAGGAATGAAGCCACCCTCTGATCAGGACATTGGGCTGGTACATGAGTAGGAAATAAACTTGTATTCTGCTAAGCCCCAGACATTAGAGGGTGCTCTTGTTATAGCAGCAAGTACTGCCCTCACTAATACATACAGCTTATACTAAGTCATATTTACTCATAAAAGCAACATTGAAGATTATAACAACTATCTGAATAGGTGATACCAAAAACGCCATTTTTTTTAATTATTATTTCCTGTCTACTTACTTATATAAGGAGACAGCAGAGTCTGTGGAGCCAGTTTTTCCTTTAATTTTTTCTCCTCAGTTACATGTATCAGAGGAGTATAGAGTGGTCATAAGACGGTAAACAATAAATTTACTCATTTAACTATTCAATATATGTCTTATTTTCTGAGTGCATGCCAGGTATCTGGGGCTGAGGGTGTCCCGGAACAACACAAGAATGGTCTCATCTTCGTGAAGCTCCCAGTCTGTGGGTACTCAACACAATTAACAGCAGTCATCTGACCTCTGGCCACCAGACTTCTTGGGAGCACTGAGGCTATTTGAATGTGAAATAGATACCTAAAATTTACTCACAAAACAGAAAGCTATACTGCCCAGCTGGTGTGGCTCAGTGGTTGAGTGTCAACCTATGAACTAGAAGATCATGGTTCAATTCCCCATTAGGGCACATGCTGGGTTGCAAGCTTGATCCTCAGTGTGGGGCTTTCAAGAGGTGGTCAATCGATGATTCTCTCTCATCATTCCCTGTTTCGCCTCTCCCTCTCACTTCCTCTGAAATCAATTTTTAAAAATACATTTTTTTTAAAAATAGAAAGCTATGTTTCTTCCTCTGCTATGGTTAAGAGTATAGAATCCATAATCAAAACCACTGAATTCAAACTCTGATGTGACCATGTTTAAGCTGAGTAATCTTGGACAACTTCCTCTTTGTTTCCCAGTTACCTCATCTTTAAAATGGGGACATTAATAACACCTGGCTCAAAGGGGTTTTGTTGAGGCCCAATTGAGTTCATGCAAAAAAAAAAAAAAAGAAAGAAAGAAAGAAAGAAAGAAAGAAAGAACTAAAAACAGCATGAGATGTATGTTGCCATTAATATTATTTGCCACCTTCCCACGGGTATTATATTTTGTGTTTAAAAGGATACAAGAGGAGGCCTCTTCACAGGAGTGGACAGATGACATCAGGAAACAGAATTATTAATAGAACCAGCGGATGTTACAAGGACTCAACTGAAACAATCCAGACTGAGAGCTTCCTTTTCGTTTTTCTCATCCACTTGGTGATGAAGAGGGCAGAAGGCTCCTGTTTGGGAAGAGCGCCAGTTTGAGTGGCCACCATGGTATGGGGCCAAGGCCAGGGCTTCTACCCCCGCTGCACACAGTGGCGCCATCGGGCAGGTGTCCCTGCCCCTCTGTGGAATGATGTCATCGGGTGAGGTGAATTACGATGACTGCAGTGCTGACCATTCTGGCAGATTTTGGTTTTACGTTTCTCGCACATTCCTTATGTTTCTCCCTCCCTCCTCTGTGCCCAAGTGCAGAGGATGGGGCAAGAGGACAGTTGGCAACAGTTCCATCTGCTTTGTTTTCTATGTCGTGAACTTTACACTGAAAAATAAGATAGCTTCTTCCTGAGGGGAAAAAGCCAGCGGGGTTCGTTGGAAGGCTCTGTTATAGAGAACAGAAACTGAAATGTGAGAAATTCCCCGTCAACAGGGAAAGCATTCCAGAAGCAGAAAACAACACGGTGCCAGCCTGGGACCAGAAAGCAAATGTGTCACATGCTGGAATGTGCTGGAGGAGGTGGCGGAAACCTCTGATTGGCGACAGTGAGAGAGCCTTCAGGTTCCACTAAGGGTAAATGAGGGGTCCTGGGCAGGCTGGGGAGATATAAAGACATCAGCTCTGCATTTGCTACCCGAATGGGCAGATGTATTCAACCATAAAGCACTTAGCTTTACCATGGGCCCATCTTGAGCCTAAGTACTGGGGACACAAGTGAATAAAAACGAAGTCCCATACCAAAACCAGTTTGGCTCAATGAATAGAGCGTCGGCCTTCGGACTGAAAGGTCCCAGGTTCGATTCCGGTCAAGGACATGTACCTTGGTTGTGGGCACAACCCTGGTAGGGGGCGTGCAAAAAGTCCCTGCCTTCATTCATTAGGTATGCAGGTAGACAATTTACAGATGGACAAATAAATGTATTAATGTCAGGCTGGCATGGCTTGGTGGTTGAACATCCACCTGGGAACCAGGGTGCATGCCCAGGTTGTGGGTTCAATCCTCAGTGTGGGGCATGCAGGAGGCAGCCGATGGATGATTTTCTCTCATTGTTGATGTTTCTCTCTCTTTCTCCCCATCCCTTCCTCTCTGAAATCAATAAAAAAAAATATTTTTTCAAGTGTTAGATAATGGTAAGGGCTGGTAAGAAGAACAAATTAGGATTAAAGAGGTAGGGAATGATGATGGTGGTAAGAAGACTTTCTGATGAGGAGGTGACACTTGAGCAGAGGCCACCAAGGAAGCAAGGGAGTGTACAATCTGGATATCTGGGGGACAGAGTGGATGCCTGGGGAAGAGCCTACCAGGCATAGGACACAGTAAGTGCAAAGGCCCTGAGGCAGGAATGTCCTTGGCATGTTCCTGAAACAGTGAGGAGCTATAAAAAAAGAGCGGCATGAAATAAAAAGTGCGGTGGGAGTGGAAGCCAGAGGTAACAAAAGACCAGATCCTGCAGGGCTATGTGTAATGGGTAAGAACTTTGGGTTTTATTTTGAGTCGGGCAGAACAAGAAGTCAATGCTGATTAGAGCAGTGACATAATCAGGTTTGAGCTTGAAGTCTCCCTCTAGCCGCTGTATTGAAAATAGACTTGGGGAGAGAAGGATGTGATTTGGGGGAAGGAGGAGGGGCTGTGACAAGTGCCAAGGAGAGACACCTACAAGAACTACAAAGCAAGAACCACAGCACGTTTAGTCAGTCTCCTCAGTGCCATCCTTTCTTCATGCCGTCACCATAGTTGGTTCCTAAAACACATACATCCCACCCTGTATCTCCCACCTTCAAGATTCTGCTGATCTTCCGTGGCCTTCAGGACAACGTCCAAACCCCTTAGCCTGACACAGCTTGACAGAGTCATGAGAGCATTGACTTCAGCATTAGAAAGACCTGGATTTGAGTCCTGCCCTGACCCTTCACCAGCTGGGTGACCTTGTCCAAATCACTGGACCTCTTAGACCTGGGTCTGTTCTCTCCTTCTTGTCCTGACCTAGTTGTCAGCTCCATGAGGGCAGGGGCTTTGTCTTGTTCTCCGCTGCATAGTCAGCACCCAAAACAATGCCTAGCACATAGTAGGCCCTCAACAAGTATGTGTGGAGCCAATGAATGAGCTAATGTAGGAGGAAAGTATGGAGCATGGCTGGCACACAGGTGCCCAACGAATGTGACTTGCTCTTGCTCGGAACTGCCCGTGGCCCTTTTCCTGGATGGTGAGACTCCTGATTCCTGTCAACACCACCTCCTCCCACCAAGACCCTGCGTTCCAGGGTCACTTCTCACTGCCTCATGCCTCTTCTGCCTTTGCACGCACTGTACCCTATGCATGGTATGCCCCATTTCCTGTCCACCAGATGACAAACTCCTACTCACTGTGGAGACATGGCTTAAGATGTCACCTCTCCTCTAATCTCAGAGCCGAAGGCTCAGTTCTCTGTCCCCAGCGCACCCTGTTCCTGGGTCTATAATAGCGCTTGCCTCACGCTATTACAATTATTCCACCATGTGCCCAGCTCTGCCCAGTTGCCTGAGAGCTGCAGAGTGGTCATGCCTAGAGCAAAGCTGTCTAATAAAAATATGTGAGCTACATATTATCACTTTAACTTTCCTGCAGCCACATTAGAACAAGAATAGAACATAAATTAATTTTAATCATGTATTTTGTTTAACCTAGTATATCCAAAACATTACCATTTCAATATGCAATAAATAGTAATCAATATGAAAATCCGTTGAACGCATATTTTTAAATTCTTCTTCTTGTAGTTTTCAAAATCCGTTGTGAATTTTACCCTTAAAATAAATCTCAATTCAGAGTTGAAGTTTCCCTGGTTAAACTGAAATGTAACCCTAGTAAAACAGTAAAGTTTCAGTGAACAGAAAAATATTTTGCATTGCTCCAAGGTTTCTTAATTTAAATTTCAGTCAATTGCATAAAATTAAAATGTTAGTGCCTCAGTCACATTTTAAGTGCTCAGTAGTGACCACTCTATCCCGTAGTACAGGTCCAGATCTTATTCTTTTCTGAGGAAAGTACAGATCTGGTTTGTAACGGGTGCCATATAAACATTAAATGGAGGATGGAGGGTGGATGGATGGATGGATGGATGGATGGACGGATGGACGGATGGACAGACAGACAGATGGACGGACGGAAAGCATTGGGCTTAGGGGCTGGCACACCGGCACCCAGCAAATGTGACTTTCTCCTACTAAGTAATGCTCATTCCCCTTTCCCTGCAGGTAATGCTCAAAGCATAAACTTTTCTACCTTGACTTCCTCCTTAGTTTACTTTCTTATTTCTTACTCGGGATTTGCAAAGTCCAGGAAAGAGAGAATAAAATTAAAGGAAAGGTGAATCCATAGAAATTCTCCTGATCCTCCTAATTCTCCAATTTGCCCCACTGGGAAAAGTTCAAATGCAGCAAAGTTCTACTCTCTAACCCAGGCAGCTCAGCAGCCCACCGCCATCAGCTCTCTGTTCAGATGCCACCATGTCAGGGGGGTCTTTGCTGACCATCCGGGGTAACGTGGCAGCCCTCCTTCTCCTCCTGGTGCTCCTAACCTCTTTTCCCTGCTTTATTCTTTATATATATATATATATATATATATATATATATATATATATATATATATATATATATATATAAATAAAATTATATATATATAAATATTTATTTTTTTATTTCAGAGAGAGAAAGGGAGAGGGAGAGAGAGATAGGAACATCAATGATGAGAGAGAATCATTGATCAGCTGCCTCCTGCACACCCCACACTGGGGATTGAGCCCGCAACCCAGGCATGTGCCCTGAATAGAACCGTGACCTCCTGGTTCATGGGTCAATGCTCAACCACTGAGCCACACTGGCTGGGCTCCCTGCTTTATTCTTTACTGTAACATTCACCAGCATGTAATATATTATATAATTTACTAATTGGTTGTATTTGTCTGGACAACGCAGAGGTTTTTATCTATATCACATGTGTCAAACACAAGGCCCGCGGGCCAAATCCGTCCCGCCAGGCCTTGCAGTGTGGCCCACACCGCGCTGTCATCACTGCACTCCGCTGCGTTTCCATCACAATGACAGTTTATGACTGTTCAGTAAACCATTCGGCCCGCGATTTAGGCTGGATTTTAGATTTTGGCCCCTTCTCTGATTGAGTTCGACACCCCTAATCTATATCATCCACTCTTGAATCCTCAGTACCTGGTATATAATAGATTCTCAATAATTACTTGTGAATGAATAAATGGGTGAATGAACAGTTTGAGTTGCAGCTCTTTT